TGTGTTATGATACATGTCTTAATGTGGAATGATTGCCAAGCAGTGTAATATAATTGAGCACTAGATCACATTCTAAGGAGAGGTAGAGCCACAGACGTCTAAGGCCCATCTACACAGTAAAACAGGTTGTATACATACAACTTTTGTAATATATTCCTTGTCAGTTTACACAGTATATAAAGTTGCATGAATCACTCCCAATTTGTTTACATAAAGTCCCGCCAAAATTGAGAATGGCCTTTTAAGATTTAAACTTGTGCTCCCATTCGTCAGATATAAAAGTTGGATACAGCTTTCTGTACAGATTAGAACATGTAAAATATACTACTCCTGGAAGCTGTATTAATTAATACAGTGTTACAGACCTGTTTACACAGCAAATTTTGCTTTATAAACCATGGTTGATACAACTTTCTTTACCGTGTAAGCGGGCTTTAAATATGTTAACCCCTATTGGTACAGACAACACTGACACAAGGGTCACACTTGTCTATATGTTTTCATAATAATAATTTTTATTAGAATCATAGTTTCTTTGTCCAATATGACAATTTGACCTTGACATGTGTTTCAAGGTTTATGACCCTCGTTTAAGATCCTCAAAATCTTGATGCATGGAAGTAAAGGTGGGTTTATTCGAATCATCTGTCACCCTCTAGCAGTTTTGAATACTCAGCAGTTGTCCTGACAAAATTTCCCTCATTGTACCCTGCATGGCGTTGCCCGTCTTCAGTAGCCCAGATGGTGCAGAAAAGTAGGACGTAAAACCCCATTTATTTAGTAAAATTGTGCTAATCACTTAATTATTTACATGCCTCAAACTACAAACAATCGGTAAGACTATGATTGTAAGGCTGAAAACATTGGTTGGAAAAACGCTCATATTATGAATACCTTGTCTGTCCGTTCCCATTTTTATCAAATCTTGATGAAACTTGATATAGATGTATATATTGATGAGATCTCAGTTAATTTCGAAATCAGAGATAATCGGATGAAAGGTTTCAAAGTCATTGCCATTGTGTGTACAATGATGCGACTTTGTTATTGATTGAATTTGATTATAATTTGGATGAATTGTTTTTGAGGTTTTGCTTTGACCATAAAATATTTTAAAGATTATTTGAAAATTCATTATAAGTCACTAACGACTTAGTTATCATTTCTGACAGTTGGTAGTGGGCCTATGTTACCTTGCATAGCAAGCTATCTTTGTACTTGCAACAGTTATGTTCGGTTTTGGACAATTGATAAGATTGTTGTGTTGTACTTCGTACTTGCATACATGTATTTGTTGTGGATACATTGCTGCCAGAGAAATAGCTTGTATGGGAGGTCATCTTATTATTGCTTGTAGAAATATGGGTAAAGCCGATGCAGTAAGATTATTGATTTAATTTAAACTTTCAAATTTGTACATAAATGAAATTAAGATGACCACCATATTTATACCGCTATTTGAAGCTGGTTTGATTTAAATGATTTAGTCTTTTGTTCAGACCAGTGGCGGGGCCCCAAAAGCAAGTTTTTCGGGCAAAAATCTCATAAATACGTTAAGAGATTCTGACGTAAACCTAGCTCCGCCACTGGTTCAGACGACTAAAGTTCAATTAAGGCATTTTAACTATCAACCATTTTTCGAGCCCGGTCTTTTAGTCGTCTAAACGCAACCGGTTAAACTGAAGCTGCCTTAACTTGCTGTAGGATATTTTGACCTCCTATAGACCACTTTACGGATAGAGCGCGTCTGGCTGTTCGCACATAAAATTGTGTTGCATTGTGGGATAGTAAGTGTCCTTAGAGTTCCGCAATAATGCAAACAGACATGGAGTAGGATAATGAGCGATAAGAAAGACGTAGCTGTGTTGAAGCGAGATGAATTGGGCGTTTTTCTTAAAGACCGGAGAATCCCATACGCCAGTAGAAATAAGGAAGATAGACGTGTGCTAGCATCTATTGCCGAGAGCAGAAATATTCCGCTTAAAACTCCTGTTGAAAATGATCTCCAGAAAGTGATGGAAGAAAGAAAGAGTAAATTTATTTTGGAAGATGGTTTGATTAAGCTTCCTGATCCTGTAAAAATATCAGCTGGGTGAGAGAAAAACTAAATAAATTTTCCGAATACATCAGTCTCAAAACTGTGTAAGTATCTATAGTAGGCCTACTGATATCAGACTCTGGAGACTGAGCCTAATTTTACAACCTTAAACAGATAGATTTTATTATTATTTCAAGGTAAAATTTTTCCACTACTGTTCCTTCTGACTTATATCCAGTATTATTATTTATTATGTTTGTATCAGGATTCTATTCATTGTAGTCAAGTAGAATAGACTTCACAATTATTTATGTTTAAGTTAAAACAAAATGTATGAACTGGCAATTAACAAAACGTGTGTTGCTCCAAAGAGCACTCATGTGAGTTACAAGATGCCTACAGTAATTGACAGTGTTTTGCTTACCTGATTAACATGATTGGGGACTGGGGTATTAAGCAATCAATTACTTCGGTAGATTGATTCAAGGAAAACATTAATACAAGTGATTTTGTGAAAGAACTCATGTTAAAACTTAAAGATTCAACAACAGAACAAAGTATTGACTATGTTGCGTATCAAACCTGTACACAGGCTAAGTCAAAAATATGGTTTGATAACCGAATTGGACGCATCACTGCATCAGTAGCACATGAGTGTTACAGAAAAGTAAAAGAAAATGAACAAGATTCAGACAAGAATAATTTTATAGTAGCAAAAATTTTCAATTACAAAAGTGTACCAGCTAATGTAAAATCTTTGAAGTGGGGCAGAGAAAGGGAATAACCGGCAATTACAGAATATGAAAAAAATATTAAGATTATAAACACCAAAATTTAAAGGGTCAAAGCACAGGGCTTCATATTTGCATCGAAAATCCTTGGTTAGCAGGCACACATGAGGCGTTTTTGTGGGCCAATTCGTTTAGGTAGATTGGCTATTTTGTGCATTTAGGGCTAATCGTCCCAGGAGGTGGTTAGGCGATTCAATTATGCTTTTCCAAGATGGCGGCATGTGGAAGTTGTTAATGTAATCAAAAGAGCGGTCTTTCATTGGTTGTCAGCGGAGTCAGTCATCTTGCCAAATATCCGATTTGAATTTCGAATTTGCGGACCACTGCTAATCTAAACCAAATTGCACCAAATCGTACTACCAAATCGAATCGGCCCACAAAAATGCCTCAGACGGTATGATTAATTGTGATTGTTGTGGATTGGGTTGTTTGGAGGTTAAAAATCTACAAACATTTAAAAATAAGACTATTAAACAAATTGCAGCCTCAGATCAGTCAGATAAAGGACAAGTCTCGACAAGAATCATCAGTATTATGCTCAAGTACAAATCCAAAAATTGCCTATGATGACAGGTTTGCCACGAACGTTGTAAATAAATGCAAAGTCTTTTTCTCACCATATTATTTTCACACTAGTCCTCATTCTAAATATTAAATCACTAAGTTGCTGTCTCCCATAATTTTTGTGTGGAGGGCCCATTAAAGACATACACTAATCGACATAAATATGGCCTATCAGAGTTCACAAATTTACGAGGCTTAGCCATCATAGGAACTTATTTCAATTCATACCATACTATCTCACACTAGTCCCAATTCCAAATATCAAATTACAAAGTTGCTGTCTCCCTTACTTTTTGTACGGAGGCCCATTAAAGACATACACTAATCGACATAAATATGGCCTATGTAGAATAATACCCAGAGTTTACGGACAATTTACGAGGCTTAGCCATCATAGGAACTTATTGCAATTCATACCATACTATCTCACACTAGTCCTCATTCGAAATATCAAATCACCAAGTTGCTGTCTCCCTTACTTTTCTTTTTTGTACGGAAGACCATTAAAGACATACACCAATCACTAAATATATATAACCTATATGAGAATATCACCCAGAGTTTACGGGCAATTTGCGAGTCTTGGCCGTCATAGGAACATTTTGAAATCTATACCATACTCTCTCATACTAGTCCTCATTCGAAATATCAAATCACTAAGTTGCTGTCTCCCTTACCCTTGTACGGAGTCCCATTAAATACATACACCAATCGACATATATATGTCGCAGCTACACGCCCCTAAGCAAGATGGAATCTGGGACTCGCCACGTATTTGGGTCGAAGGATGGAATTACAGATTACAGTTTCATACATTTATTACACACAACATTACATCTAATAAATACACCACATGGAAGTCGGATAGTCGTGGATATGTGCTAAATAGCAATACGGAGGCTTCCAATGCATTCCGCCATTACTAATTAGATCTACACCATCATACCATTAGTAAAAAAGGTGTCTAAGGACTAGTGCTAAAGTACCACCGACCAAAATAAATAGCCCAGTTTGTGGAATAGGACCACAGAAGGTAGCAGCGCACTCCAACTATCTCACATGTGGGTACTGGGCCACTGGTAGGTAGGTAGGTAGATGACAAGTTAACGTTCGCTTCCAGCGGATGCTGATATCGCAAACTACGTAGTTGTTGGTAGTCTTGGTAGTTGGAACTGGGCCACTGTAGCAAACTCAAGCTTTATACCAGCAGGTATCCAGATCCAACCAATAGAAAAATAAATGCACGAGCTTATTAAAACCAACCACCGAACAAATAATTACACCATGTGATATACAATCTCGTTAGACAGTACAATCAAATGCGTTACTTACTAACCGATATACAATTAAACACAAATTGGTTTATAATTAGACACAAGTCTTTTCTGTGCACATCAACTAAATATCAAAACTATGATGTAAGTCGATATAATCCCAGAAAACTAAAATAACGAACGTAAGATAATTACAACAATTACTAAATTATATAAACCAAATAGAGCACAACCAGAAATAGTTTACCAATATAGATTTTATAACCTATAACCGCATGCTAATCATTGACAATGCAGAACGTGTTTCTAACAACCTGTACTCAATGTTACATCATGGCCACAATGCTAGAAAGAAAATTGACAGTGGAAATTAAACCCCAATCAACAGTAGACATCAAATCAGAAGAAATGCTGGGGTATTTCCAACAAAGAGAGGCCCCATTGCACACTATTAGATGCTTCCAAAATGTGGGTCAATCAAAGTTCTTGGTGTCGTTCTCTAAGGAGGACGACATCAAAAACTTTGAAAATTGGTTTGAATTTGGGACTGGTTCTGATCCCTACAAGGGGGTGAGATATACCATTGAAAGGGCAACTAGACTCCCCCAGTATAACCAACAGCCGGGTACCAGAATCACCATCTTCGGCGTCCCATACGAGATGGACACAAAGTACGTCCTCTCGAAAATAAACCAGTACTGTGTGGCCAATAAGATCATCCGCTGTACATATAGAGATCATCCATTTATGTACAACGGAGTCTGTTTCATTTACACCAAAAAGGTAGATAACCCCATACCATCCAACCTTACCATTCAAGGATGTAGATTGGGGGTAAAATATGAAGGACAGCCCCAGCCTGATAGGAAGTGCTATGTCTGTCAAGTTGAAGGACATACTGCCAGGGACTGCCCTTCTAGACCACCACCACCCCCTATCTCACCCATCACTGACAAAGAGGGGTCGGGTGCCTTTCAAGTTTACAATCCTCGTAAGAAAGCCCCGAATCAAATTTCCAAATCGGTGGGAGATCTCCTCAAAACTATTAGGAACACCTCTACGCCCATTCAGTCCAATAAAAACAATCTGGACACACCGGCTACCCCTGGCTGGGTACCGGATGAAGCTGAATGGGAAAACGTAGAGGAAAGTGACTATGATAAAAGTAAAGAGGAGATCGCTCAGCGATCGAGTCTCATAGCCAGCACATCCAAAGCGCCAATACCCAAAGCCCCGAAAGACAAACGTTCAACCCTCCAAGACACGCCCCTATCCTCCAGATCCAACTCTAAAGATAGGAAAAGGGATAGGGACAGGAGTAGCCTACTCGAAGATCATAAAAAACACAAGATAGCCACTCATGAAACATCTGAGAGTAGAGAATCGAGTACCAGTATGGATCCCTCGAACTATACTACTAGAGGGAAGGCTACTCAAAAAAAGAATAAATAGATGTCGTTAACCATTATAAATAATAACAAACAACAAAAAAAAAACAAGTAATATTATTAACAACAATTTATAATGATTTTTACAACATTAAATATCTGTAGAGGTTTTCTACATAAATATCACCAAATTTGAAAGACTTAAAACATCGGATGG